TTAGTTATACATACTTTTTTCTTACTAAAAAGTACAAAATGACAATAAATGTTTATATACTTTGTATAAAAATATTTATTTGATAATGTATATAAAATATACATAGCGTTTGTTGTTTGTTTTATTCAAATCTCTGAAATCGTAAAGATATTCAGTGTAGAATATTCAACCATGTGTAAATTGTAAAATGGAAACTCTTCTTCAAGTTGTTAAAACCCCAAATTCCCAGACACAATACTGAGGCAATGACCTTGGTATCTTCAGTGGTCCCACAGCTATTACCTGACATTTATGAGACATCTGTATTGGTCTGTCAAGGTTAATCGAAATCCAATGACATCAAAACAAAGCGAGGTTTAAAATGTCTCCCCTTTCTTCTACAGTCTGTCTACGGGGTACCAGATGATGGTCAAAGCCAACCGAGTCCAATCCACATCAGCTCCCAGCCGACCAGGAAGACCACCAAAGAGGACGTTCAGAAGGAGGTAACTCACAGTGTGACAGTCTTCTCCATAGGTCATTACCACCAGTCTGCCTCGCCTATCCATCAGAACGACATTCGGGGACGCAGACTGATGAGCTGTGACCTTATTTAGCATCCTCATTACTCTCTCTCCCTCTCCATCAGATTACTTTCTTGAACGTCCAGCTGGACAGACACTGTATGAAGGTTTCCAAAGTGGCCGACAGTCTGATGAGCTACACGGAGCAGTTTGTGGAATACGACCCCTTTGTGTCGGCCACAGAGCCCTCCAACCCCTGGATCAGCGATGACACAACTTTCTGGGACTTGGAGGCAAGGTGAGGCTGGAAGGGTCGTGTTAGCATGTGGGCTGAGGGTTCACCGGAAGCTGATCATGCTGTAAACCGACACTGGGGTCAGGTGGAGCGTAGAGGTCTCGGTGCTGATGAACTTTTGTTGTCCTAAATTAGGAGGGATCTGTCTGTTTGTATCTCATCTCAAATTAATGCTGGCATTCTTAAAGGTTTAATGTGCTCCGATGTTCTGGCTTCTGCTCTCTGCAGACCGTGAGGGAAAATGACTTGTGAATAATAAACTGCTCTTTTCTGTTCTATCCTATTTGATTCTATTCTTCTCTAATCTATTTTATTTGGAGCAGTCGTGACCCCAGCCAGCAGCGTGTGAAGAAATGGAGCTTCTCTCTAGAGGAGGCGCTGAAAGATCCAGCAGGACGAGACCAGTTCCTGAAGTTCCTGGAGTCAGAGTTCAGCTCAGAGAACCTGCGGTGAGGCTGTCATTGTACTTTATGTATCTTTCTAAAAGTGGCTATAAACACGCGTTATTTTTATACATTTCTGTATAAATGTTTTATGACAACTAATACAACTCCTTGATTATATTAATAGCACGCACAGTGATGGAAAGTACATTTAATCAAGCACTGTACTTTCCATTTTATGCTACTTTATACTCCTACTTGACCACATTTCACAGAGAATAATAATAAAAATGTTCTGGTTAGTTAATTGATTTTACACATAAAACATATGATCATCTTATCTTGTTATCAAATTTCTGTATACAAATTAGCTCCTCTTTGACCTGTTCATTGTTAAAATGCTGCCTACATGTTTGCACCATGCAACACAAATAATCCAGTGACATACACAATGATATAAAACTGAGTACTACTTACTTTTACTTTGATACATTAAGTACACTACTGCTGACATATTAATTTTATGTAAGAAAACATTTAAATCGTGCATTTTGACATTGTGGTTTTGCTACTCTTATTCAAGAGTGAATACTTCTTCCACACTAGTGAAAACAAGTGTGTTTACATATTGTAGAAATTTTAATTTTTCATCAATATTCAAATGAACTTATTAATCACATTAAATGCCATTGTCAACACATATAATAATAGTGAATGTAACACTGTATGGACTGTATATATCTATGTGATGCTGTTGTAGGTTCTGGTTAGCAGTGCAGGATCTGAAGCGGCGGCCACTCCAGGAAGTGGCTTCTAGGGCACAGGAGATCTGGCAGGAGTTTCTGGCCGAGGGGGCGCCAAGCTCCATCAACCTGGACTCTCACAGCTACGAGCGCACCAGCCAGAACCTCAAAGACCCCGGGCGATACAGCTATGAGGATGCTCAGGTGCACTGTTGTTTCTTCTTCCTAGTGGATGAACATAGGCTACACATGGCTATACATGTTCACGCACGCATGAACACACACTCACACAAGTCTGAATGAACACCGGAGACGTACAGTGGCAACACACCTGTGCCTGTACTCGGGGACACAGCCAATACTTCTGTAGTGCTACATAGAAACCAACCCTACCAAAACACTGAACCCTTCCACCCCACTCATGTTACACAAGTGATTGAACGAGAGGGCGGGGAGGGACAGAAAGAGTGAGGAGAGGAGAAGAATGACGGAGTGTGTTTGTGCCAGGGCCTAATGAGGCGAGTAATGCCATGAATAGGTTGTTCACTCGAGTTCACCATGGTTTCCTCTGGTTCAGAGTGGGTTGGTGATGTGTGACGTGGAATGCCTCTCACTGGCAGGACATTACTCAGCTCTGTCTCACAGGACTCTGCCGTTCATGTCAGCAGACTCCGTTTGCATCACCCCTTCCGAACCACACATGCGTGTATTACATTAGCATAATCAGACCTGCTTTATTTCTCTACACTTCTCTTTATTCTTCCTTTTCATCCCCTTTTTTCCCAGCTCAACGCACACTCATCAGCTTTTCTTTCTCTTTCAATTGCAGGAGCACATATTCAAGCTAATGAAAAGTGACAGCTATGCACGCTTTTTGCGATCCAACATCTACCAGGACCTCCTGTTAGCCAGAAAGAAGGTGAGCTGCACTCACTGACCCCTATGTCACCTCTCCTTTTTTTTTTCTTTTTTTTTTTTACAAAAGTTTGTCACTCTTATTGCATTTCTCATTTTGGTTTGATTCTTTTTTTATAATTTAAAAGACAGTCCAGGTTCATATTTATTGTATATATGTAGTCAGTAATTAGGTTTAGGCCTTATTTTACAAGTTCGTACAAGTGCAACCACGAGGGAGCACGGCACATTATTTTTTGGCTGGGGAGTGTTTATGTGCAGGCAACAACATATCACACAGACAGGCAATTTCAAGGTCAGGAAAATACCAAATTGTCAGAGCACTGCTTGTGCCGGTCACTGCGCTGCCACTAAAATACAGCACATAGTATCAATATGACATGCTGCAAAGTAGTTAGTGACAGCAGTGGAATGTAAATAAGTGTGTTTACTCAAGTACTGTACTCAAGTACTGTACTCAAGTACAATTGGGGAACTTTTATACTAGGCAATTTTTGTACTTTCCTCTCCACTACATTTATTTAACAGCTTTAGTTATTTTGCAGATTCTGATTAATTATGAGGTAATATTAGAGATTAGGGAACCTGGAAGGATATATAATGTAGTTAAAATTAGCCTTAACTAACTTCACCAGATGCAACATTAGTAATGCTTATACATTAATGCATCAATAATTATAGATAAAGATAAAGATATATGATATTATATATGATTCTGAAATGGGCCATTCTGCATAACGAGTACTTTTACTTTTGAATGATACTAAAACTTTTACCTGTACACTAACAGGGTGTTTCTACACTGTATCAGAATACTTCGTCTACCACCAATTAGTGATGTTTTTATCATATACACAGCAAATTAGTTCAAACAACTCACTGTTTAGGACTTTAAGGTAATCTGATTACATGTAAATGCTACAGAGGTGGGCCATTTCAATGCCATTTTAATGCCATTTGACAGAATTTGTCAGCTCTTAACAAAGTCTGGCAATATGTAATTTGATGCTGCCATGAGATGAGCCCCAAAAAGGCAAAAACAACTGTGACCAAGATACAGGTGCAAGGAAACTACGACATTCTGGTAAATGTCAAGTGAACGGTCTCGAAATACATGACATCATATGCCAAACCCAGACAAAGAGGAACAACAGCCATGCTGTCAATAGAAATTACCAACACACAGTACATAGTAGGTATGACAGAAAAGAAGAGAAAGTATTTAAGATGGTTGACAGATGCAGCCTAATATTTCCCAGTGTTGATGCTAGCGGTGATGATTTTGACTTTCCCAGCTAAACAAACACGCATTTAGCTGTTACTGTGTAATATGGAGCTTTCCACAAATCACAGCTGCCTCTGTTCATGCTAGCCTTTCTGCCCTTTTCCCGTTTGGACACTGCTCCTTCTGCTGGCCTGTCACTGACCCCACTCCATTTCCTAAAAAAAAAACATGCAACTCCCACATTGTCCTCGGCCCTCATTTTTGCAATGCTTGGCCCCGTTTCTCCTTCACTAACTACTTCAACCCCGAACCCCGTCAACACCCGTACCTGACCCAAACACTCACCCTGCTTCCCCCTCCCAAAACAGCAGCCAGCAGACACTGAACAGGGCCGCCGCACCTCCTTGGAGAAGTTCACCCGCAGTGTGGTAAGTCATTTGGAGCTGGGGCTGTTCATATCACAAACCACACTGGCTGGCTCACTATCAGTGGCTTTTTTTGCAATTATAACCATATTACACTCTATTATGGCTCTTTATACTTGTAACAGGATGTGTATTTGTGAAAAAGATAACATACTAGTCACATGAATGGTTGCATTTTAGATTTTTTTAAAAAGCACCTTGTTGGTAGAGATTTTGTGTGATTCATAAAGTTCTTGTACTGTCACCATCTCAGTCTAGTAATCTGTTTTAATTGACCTTCTAGGGCAAGTCGTTGACGGGAAAGCGCCTGACAGGCCTGATGCAGTCATCCTGACACAGCCTGTGCTGGAGGGGCACAGCCAGACCCTGTTGGGGGGGTGACCGCCACACAGGGGCCGGCGCACAGACAGTGGAGCTGGGCTGGACAGGGCTGCTGTGGAAGCTCTTAGACACTGCTCCGAGGACTGCTGTTGCCGTACTGGTAGCGCAGCACTGGGCCCGATGGGGTGAACGCCTCAAACAGAACCACTGAGGAAAAGACAATGCTGACAAGGGGAACCTCAGCCGACACACCACATGGCATGCAGCATACAGTATAAGCACATTCAGACGAGGGCTGCCCTCTTTTCATCACTTAGTCGGCAAACTGGTTGTTAGGCTCTTTGTCGACTAAGCTGATGAGTTTATATTGTTTTCTTTCTGTTTTATATACTGGTTTATTGGAAATGGAAAGCACATATCTGGAATTGCAACAATATTCTTTGACAAAAAAATGCACTTAAAAGTTATTTGCCACAACATTTGCAATGAATTGACTATTGGTTTAGTTATCCTAAAAAAGCCGGGGCTAGTCCTAACTCAGACATACTTACTTAAACACAAGTTCAAAGAGGCACATCAACACGGACACAAATCTACAACATTTTGCATATGTCTCTGCCAGCAATAAATAAAGCCTGAGACCACTTTTTTCTTTTTTTAAGAAAAATATATTTAACCTTTTTATATCCTTGAAATTTCTATTATATCTGTTCCTTATGAAGCACACTACATGTCAGTTTAATAGTGAACATAGTTTGGGCAGTAATCAACAATATAAAGTTGTTTTTTTCCCACAAGTTATATTTAATGACGAAGGTTGAAGGTATAGTTTTCCATGCTTCATTACATTCCAAAATCTGGCATAAGGGCTTAATGTAGCATTCACACTGCACCAATGCACGTGTCATCCAAATGTCTTTGTTGAGGATTAATATTTTGTGTGCTTTGTAATGAGACGTATGGCAAATATGAATTTAATCCAGTTGGCAAATTGGTTCACTGCTTTCACAACTTCTCAAGCTTCAAGTCCCAAAATGTTTAGGCTGCACAGTCAACTTAGTCTGTGTGAATAACTGAGAAGCTTCAACATTTAGTGGCCCACATGGTTGTGTGAATCACAGTTGTCTGAGGGTTTACTTTAGTCACAGTTCTAGTGTGCATAGTCACATGTGATATAAAATCCACGTGCTTTTAGGGCTCACACCATAGTGTAAATTTTAAAGTTTCCAGTGCCATGGGTCCATCTAGTGGTGGTTAAACCACAGGACCAAGCAACAGAGTGTTGTAAGACTGTATTAAGCTGTGTTCACATCATATCGAAGGACATTATGATGTCAAACCTAGTTGTTCTCTGATCATGGAGACATTTGAAGGCCTGCAGCCCAATATGGGATCATTTATGTTTTGTTGTTTTTTTTACTGCATGAATATCTCACCTTTTGTTTTCTTAAAACAATGAAACCTGCCCACTTCTGTTTGGCAAAATGTATGCCGTGACCCTCCACCTAATAATCATCATGTGTTTTAATGACTATGGGGGAAATGGTGCATGTTATTGGACCATAACTTAACAGAAGATGGTTTGACTCTCTGAAGACAGCGCGCAGACGAGGGGAAAAGCCCTGAACTGGAACAACGCTAGTCAGAGTGACGTCAAAGCCCTGAAGTGGGAACTGGGAACAATATTTGACCTGTCTGGGGCACAGTACACTGAACATTATGGCCTCTGTATTCCACTGTGGCTTCAAACTTCTTCTACAGACAAAAAGTGCTTGGACTGAGGAGATTTTAGTCTCACAGCTCCCCCATCAGGCCAATGACAGCTACAGTAATGGACTACGCTGCTGAATGAGTCAGTCATCTTTTATTTTCTATTAGTCGTTGCAATGCACTGTACAGGTCATATTAATAATCAGCATTATTATCATAAACCAATAACCTCTTGATTATAAGGTAGAGAGAGATGCTTAACTTCGATGTACCAAATGTTATTCTCAGCACAAACACAATGACACTATGTACAGGGTGCATTGTTGATGTAAATTGGCTAAATTTCATTATCCAAAAGCACATTTTATTATGATATGGGCACATTACTATGCATGTAACATATTCAGGGCATTTTTGTGCTTTTAGTTTCTCAATCAGCAAGATAACTACTGGCACTCCAAAACACTCAAGCACCTGCTATCTATTCATGGGTACCAAATAATAAAAACTCTGGACCTGTCTGCCACTCTTGTGCTGTTCTGCGTCATGAACCAAAAGAAGTCAAATGTGTCTCTTCTGTGTCAGCTGAGATCTGATGACCTTTATCAGGTGCTGATGCTAACTGCCGCTGCCTTTTTCCTGCATACCACAATACAAGGCTGCAGGTATGTTATGGTAAGTGCAACTGTAAATCACAAAACACTTTTTGGGTTTTTATCCTGATGCTTTTTCTGTGTTCACTGCCACAGACTCATTATTTCTGTGCTTGGTAGTTGCCATCATCAGTAGCAGTGTTTATCTGCTTTCATAAATCAAGCTTAAGCAGGTGGTCCATACTAGCAGCTATGTGAGGCTGGTATTTGGTCATAAACAAAACCAAAATTAAATGTTGACATGATGATGATGATGATGGCACTTCATGAAAAGTTACTAAAGTTATTAGAATTCCTCTTGAGGGAGACTGGAACGCCTGCATCCAATTTCATGGCATTTCATCCAATAGTTATTGAGACATTTTACACAAAGCCACAATGTGGCGCCAGAGAAAAAGAGTTCTGGGCACTGTGAATGTCTACCAAATGTTAGGGTAATCCAATGGTTCTGTAATATTTCAGTCAGATTATAACCGGTAGGTTATCAAGGTTATCTCAGTTTGGGCTTTACAATTTAACATTTATAACAGAAAGCAAGACAATGGTGTTACAAACTGGTAGCATGGAATTTAAAAGACCAGGCAGGGAGGGTCCAATTTAAAAGATACTTTGGAGTTGCATTATGGGAAATGTGGGAAGCAGCCATTTTGGGGAGATCTGAGTCATACTGGCATTAAAACTCAGGATATTTCTGCCCTTTCTGTATCAATTTTGATCATCCTTCTTTAAAGTCTGCCTCTTGTGAGTGTCCTAATGTTATGGGAGTGTAATACTAAATCACTGGAGTGCCCCTTTAAAATCTCGAGACAACAGGCTGTACAAAATAATAAATGAAAAATAACAGTCTTAAACATTAAACCTAAAACAGTATCTTGTTTGCTAATGTACTTTATGATTAATGTTCCTCCTAATAGTGAATACACAGTAATTTGCAGCTATTCTCATTATGAAGTTGTTGCTTTGACCTTCACACGTCCCTCTATTCCAAGAAGTACATTAATCTAATCTTGTGATCCAGTTTCTTGCTCATTTAAATGCTACTTTAGTGCCACTGTGATTTGACACATTTAACAAGATCCATTGGAAACCTGCTCTCATAACACTATCGGACAATTATATTTATATATAGTCCAAACCTTTGTATTTTATACCTGCATACTCAGAGCCCATGTAGTTACAGTAAATAATCCATCTGTAATACCTCTCTGTTGACACACAATATTGCTCATATGTGATTTCCACAGACTTACTTGTTATTTCTCAAGCAGCACCTACCAATCAATAAGAGCTCCCTGTGCTGAAGCCTCTTTTTGTTGTCTCGTTCCTATTTAGAGTCCAGACCTACAACCGCTCTCACAAACTTGAGAGCCATTTTATTTTTTTTCCCCTCTTCGTCTGCTCACAGAGTCTGAGGGTCACTCCAACCTATTGATTCTTCAGCTTATCAGCTGCCTTCTCAAAAATTCCCTGTGGTTTCTCTCAGGAAAATAAAAAAACCAGCATCGAGCATTACCGTTCATTCTTTATTTTTTTCAGAACAATAAAAATAGTTTAACAAACAAAGACTTCTTCATTCTCTCCATTTCAACTTGTATTTACAGCTGAAGATGAAACAAACGCCCAGTCATGTCCATTTCATCTCCTCTTGGCTCCGTTCCCACCCCGATCCTCCCTCTCCACTCCCGGCAGGCTTGACAAGAGAGTACCAGGGCCTATTGCTGTGTCTTTGACGAGGTATACAGGCTATTCAATGATTGGTGACACATACTTCGAAGCAGACATCACTGACCTTTGCATTTAGGAGCTTCTCCTTTTGTTCAGAACTGCACCACACTAGGCCTGTTTGTATACGGTAGGTTAACATTGAGCAGGTTTATGATTAATGACACATGCTTTCACTTACTGGCATGACTTTGGAAGATAAAAGACACAACGACCCATTTTACTGTGGAAAACGCCACATAACTGATACAAGAGAAGAAGACACAGATAATTGAGAGGTCTCAGATCCATTCTTTGTCCAGACGAGATAAACTGCTTTGTGGAGGGTCCCTGAGGGAAGTGAAGAAATATGGTTTGAATTCACAAGCACTTACGCAGGTTCATACCAGACACATAGAATTAATGGTTAGCTTCAAAAACGGAGCGGCTATTATTACATTGCATCGATACTGAATAATCACATGGAAGGACACAGAAATCTTACACAGTATGTGCAACCTATGGACCTAAAAAGGCTTTTTGATACAGGACTTCAAGCACCTTCTAAATGTCATAAAGCAATTAGGCCCCTCAAAAGCACTCAGCGGAAATGTCACAGATAACGTAGATTTACAGTTCTCACTTCTCGCCAAGTATGTGGATCCGGGCAGGGTGGGGTCTGTCTAGCAACAATATTGTTTTCCCAATGCATCTGAGATTATTCTCACAGTTATAACAACCTACTCGGACTGTTGATAACGAAACAGAAAGTGGAGAGGTTTTGCACGGCTTGTGTGACGCCAGGCAAAAATCAGTAGAGGCCAGACAAAATTTGAAGCTCGTTATTGCGATGTTTTCCTATAGCATGAGACTGCAGCATCCCAAAAGCACCCCCCTGGGAGTTGATTATAATGGGATCCTTGTGTGGCGTTATTGTCCCTCCGTGCCAACTGAATACAATCACATGAATCAGGGCTGTGTGGCAACAATCAACAGCAGAGGAAATGAAAGATGCCTGAGTAGTTGTGGCTATTGTGCACCTGATCAGGACAGAGGTATCAATACAGTCTGAACAAACCCAAGAAGTCATACTAATTCAACTTTAAAGAGTTCAAAACATAGAAATATTATACAACAGAGAAAAAGATGCAAAAAAATTACTAAATTACTGCGACGCATTCGAGTCAGAGAGGCCCAGGAAAAAGAGCAAAAACAGACAGAGGGACAGAAGCAGAAAGATAAAACCTTTTGCGTCCATGTCAGAGTATTAATACAGTAGTCCAGAGGTCTGCATGTAATAGTGGTGGATTTGAGCACCATGTCTATGGCTGGGGGTCAGGGGGTCACTGGTCCAATCAGGTTGGAGGGTCATGGCTGTCAGAGCTGGTTTCCAGTGCAGAGCGGCAGGCTGGCACAGTGATGAGGATAATGACGTCTTAGTGTCACATCGGATCACACAGCAGACACACAGTCACAGAGCAGGAGTGGGCAGGCTGGGCCGCGGGGGCCCCAAATGCACCCGTCGGGGCACACAAACAGTCCAAAAGGCCTGGTCTTTAGTGTTCCCATAGTTCAGTGGAGCTCCAGCACAGTGCAGAAAGGATGAAATGAAGCTGGATCTACTCACATTTCAAATGTTCAGAAGGGATCGATACATATCGTCAAGGGAGCAGTTGTTTCAATTAAGCCACATGGCCTGTAGAAGTGGTGGATGTCTGTCCATCCATTTTCAGTCTGTTATTTTCGGCCCAAATCAGGAGGGACATGAAGGCTCATTAGTTTTTGACAGTTAAATCCTCTTCTTCACTGGTCACCCCCACTTCTGGGCCACATGCCAATGTGCTGAGTGCTCCTGTAGTGTAACACAGACAACATGGGTTAGACTCATATGTTATATGTCTGAACAAGGGTCTACAGTCGTGCTAGCCTGTGAGGCTGTACCGCAAGGGCTGTAAGAGAGCTGGTTTGAGCTATATGCTATGTCAGCACGCTCACGATGACAATGCTAACATGCTGAGGTTTAGCAGGTATAATGTTTACTATGTTCACCATCTTAGCTTAGCATGTTAGCATGCTATTTGCTAATTTGCAATAAATAAGGGCAGCTGATACGCATGGAAATGTCATTGGTTTTGCAGGTATTGGGTCAGAAAGCAATAAGGGACAAACTGAAATGGTGACCTACATGAATGTCTGAACATAATTTGATGGCAATCCTGTAGTAGTTGAAATATTTGATATAATGATAATAAATTATAGTCTGAACCAACAGACACTGCCCTCCCTAAAGCTGTTAGCATGGCTAACTAGAATAATGTTTGATTCCTGTTCTCATTACTACAATCTGTGCAGCTAAAACAGAGATTTTCACTTGTAAAGCCAAATAACACTGAGACCGAGTGTCAAATAAATATAAAACATATTTAGTCCCAATCAGACTTTCAATACTAAAAAAAAAATACTCCGGCAATCTTTTGTTTGTAACCCAGTATAACTCATTAGCATTCTTTGCAAATCAGCAGAATCTCTTTCATCCATAAATCAGTAAAAGCCCTGTTGCTTACCTTTCATTGATTTAGTCCCCTATATCTGTAAAAACTATATTTATAGGTTTCTTCATCTCCAAACATTTCCAGTGGCCCGTAGCAGTCCTTTCATTGGTTCCTTCATTTTCATACAAGTTTAATCCAGAGACAGAGCAGAAGAAGAGACCTTCATAGTCACAGCGACTACTGATCAAAAACATCCAGTAGCTCAAGTATGGGTCTGCAATGATATTCAGTCTTCTCCCAAATGTACTGCGTCATTTATGCCTTTAAATTTTTCAATTGTTCAAATTTCTCCAGTGTTTTTTGTTCATAACGTTTATGCTCCTTCTGCTCCAGTGAGGGGGGGAAAAAAACCTCCAAAAACATCTGTTTTGCATGGAGACCAAGTCACTTGTCAAGAAACACTGACAGTTGTTCATTGCCTTAAAAGTTAATATATATATTTATATATAAAAAAGGTGTTCATAAATTATTCAACAATGTTCAGTAGATAAAATACCACTTGCATTTCTGTCCTGAAATGATCACTTTGTGCTTTCTGCAAACAAAAAACATTGAAAAAGAAGCAGCAGATTTTGCCAGA